TTAATAAACCATATCCCTTTGGGTTTGCATTTTTTGTTCTTTGATTCTTATCTCTCTTCATTAATTTTCTTTACATTTATCTACAAATACTCAATTTATCCTGGATTATTTAACAATTCAACTTAGTTTGTTGGTTAAAACAAAACTGACTGTATTTCTTGTTTGTTTGTTTGTTTGTTTTAGTCCATAGACTTAGTTCAGCTTACTTACCTATCTAATATAATAGATAATCCTTAGATTATCGGGTAAACATATAGTTTCAGTTAACTAATTCTTATTTGGTTAAAGCACATTAGTTATCTTTAGAAAATATTCAAACTAATTTAATCCGTTTAATGAAATACATTCAGTGAATTCATTTTTAATTTTTATAAATTTTAAAGTTTATTTTCTATGATGATCAAAGTACTTTTATGATAAAAAAAACGTTAGCCGATTAAATTAAAAGAATCACCAATCCCCCCTTCCTTTCCGTTTTACAGATTGCCTAGTGACATGATGAACTGTTTTAGTAATATGAGAACAAATATTTTTTTTTTAAAAAAAAGTGATTTTCACTACCATTTGTTAGTATTTTTAACAATATGAAGTCATAGTATTTATCACTTGTTTATATATATATTTTTTTAATCACCCCCCCAGAAGATACATTTTCACAACGATGTATTTTGCATACTATCTCAAAATTTTATTTAATGATATGATGTAACTATTAGATTGAACGAACAATTTAGTTTATTGTTAAATTCTCTTAATAATATTGTTATATCCTAGTGAAGACATAAGTAGGGGTAACTTCTGGGACCTATTAATGGACTTTTATTCTATATATAATGTTATTGTGTAACTATTCAGTGACTAGATTTAATCTATATATATTTATCATATTATAAGCTTCATTTTGACCTATGGATTATTATTATACGATTTACTGTCCCTAAATTATATTCAGTTTATTGATTATTGTATCCCATATTTACAGCCACATTTGACTTGTTGTTGTACAAATATTATTTTCTATTTTATGGTATGATGGGGTCTGTCTGTCCGGCATATAAACCGAGTATGCTTGAAATAAATGATTCGCATAGCAGAGGCTGTAATTGATGTTTGGACTCAACTGGAAGGGCTAGGTAGACAAAGGACTGATAAGGATGCTAGACTGCTCACACCGGTCGAACGTTATTGATTTGGCATAGTGCCAAGATTGGATAAGTCGTATTTCACAACAAATACTTACTCATTGTTTAAAGCATAATGAATAAAGTAGGATTATAATGCATGACATATTGGTTGATAAAAAGTTCATTTACAAAAGAATAATGAGATAATGGAGTTGATCTAAAAAACTGATCTATTCATACTGATGCGCTTCAAATAATCTAGTTACATATATACCTATCAAAGTATTGACATATGAAAAATAGTAAAAGTCATTTAAACAAAAAGTCGAATGTATACTAATAACAATCAATCCTCTTCATAGATTTAAACAAAGCTGGAAACAACAACATTTGTAGAATACAATTAGTTGATTGTATATCATAACTATCTATTCAACTATATATAAGCTAATATATATGATTAACTCCACCTGTAGCTCTAATAGAGTTACTGCCGGTCCCAAGCCCGGGTAAAGGAGGAGGGTTGGGCATCCTGTAGAGAACTAACTCGCTGAAAAAATGCTGAACAGAACTGGTGGGCGGCCTATGCTCCTTCACGAGGGGTAACAGGCGTAAGTAAAAAAGTAATATATGATTATTGTAAATAAATAACATCATTTAGAATTCAGAAAAATGAATTGTTGTTGTCTGAAATATAAATAAAGATAAGAATCAAACCTTTAATAAGGTTTTTATAAGCTTTTGAAGAGGTAGTTATTGATAGAAAATTCAACTTTTCGAATTCCGTTTTATGTTAATGATTCACAATAAGCAAATTTATTAGCTTGTTTGTAAGTGGAGAAAAAGTTATGAACAACAATAAACTCACTTTATTATGTAAATTGTATTGTATGTTTAAATATCAAATGACAACTGATAATACATTTGATAAATAGATGATTTTATATGAAATACAAAAGAAATCACTCTAGACATTAAAGCAGATTACAGAATACCATGAAGAACTTAAAATTAAAACAAACTGTATTTGTGTACATAAAGGCGACTTGGGTTTTTAATGTCCTAACCTTCCACGACCTTAAGAATATACAGTTGATAAAAGTTGTTATTAGTTCAATCCTACATTCTTTTTTAATAAGGTTTTATTATTAAGCAGCTTGACTTTTTAATCCTTAGATCTATTGATGAACTTGAAGCTAAATGATTCCGAAACTGTTGATAAGTTTATGTTACTGAACCATTGATATCATTCTTTGATTACTCTTCTCTATGTCTGTGTATCTGAGCTTATATTTCCAAACTAACTGAACTTCATTAGTTTTCATGTATACATGTTTTGAAGGATATACATATGATCAGATTGTTCGAAATGTATTAAAACAAAAGTATCATATTTTGTAGATCAAATTCGGTCTCACATTATTTTCTTAAGGTGAATGAATGTTTTTAAAAAATCATCAATTCATTTGACTACTAACATTCATAAATTATATGATGTATCTAAGATGAGCCTTTCTCTTCTGGAAATAATTTTCCGAAACAAACTGCTAAGATCTGATTCGGATACACTGAAACAAGCAGCAAATAAATCTATGAAAATTTTATTGATATATTAAGTCAATCCTCACAGAGCACACAAATATCAACAAAAGACGAATGAAATTCAGTTCTTAATATTAAAAACGGAATAAATAACACACTTACGAATAATAATGTAAGCATCATACTTGTCGAACAAGTTAATAGATATATGAACTCAGTAGATCACTGACTATAATGTTGATGTTTGAAGCGAAAGATTCTGAGTTAAAGTTTCAATAGGAACATCAACACTAGGATACAAAATCACTAAGCCGATTAGTTTGAATAGGACGATAAGCATATTTTACTGCTAGTCACAATGCATCTATTCTAATCCAAGACAATCCTTAAAGAACGCATGTATATCACAAAAGACTGTTCAGAATTCACTAATGATTACCAACAAAGAGATCATTCAAACCCTTGATTGTAATGTATTGTTATCGTTTAAACTAGTCGATAAACCAATAGAATAATATTACTGGTTACTAAGCTTTATTCTTCTTACAACTGCTGTAGGTTGTATACAAAAATACGGTTTGTGTACAAAAATCATAGGACATTTGAATTGATACCAGACTATCAGGCTATCAGGACTCAGTGGCCGAGTGGATAACGCGATGGCGTTTGAAGTGAAAAGTACTGGGTTTGAGTCCCAGAGTGAAAATCAACTCTGAGATGCAGGTACATCCAGCTGACGAGTCCCGAATAGGACGAAACGTGCATCCTGGATTCCACTGCTAGCCACTATCCATCTTTGCTTACAATGCTTATGAATTTAGGCTATATCGAGCCAATACGCACAGTATGCGCATATGCCAATTAGAGACTGACCAGTTGCAGTTCTAAAACATCAATGGCAAGATTCAAACAAACAATACTAAATGAAATCATACTATTTATTTCATGTGTGTTCAAGCATACTGTTAACTGTTGAATAGAAACATTTGTGATAAACAAGTATGGTTTATACTGGATTATTTGATGTGTTTTGTTTACAATATAATATAAAAGAAAACCTACTTCGTTAAACTCATCAAGGACTAGTTAGGTAAAGAAAAATTTCTTTTTCAGTAAAGTTTGATGAATCAGTTTTAACATGAATTAACATAGTTGATAAGGTGTTTATTTAAGAAAACAAAGATACACTTAAATCGTGAACTCTCACATTGCCATATGTAAATAGCTTTTATCACAAAAAAGAATCTCCTAGGGAAATGGTAAAGGCTAAAGATTACTAGAGAACTGGTTTGTCTTTACTTAGAACTTTTGACTACTACGTACTCATAAACCCAGATAAACTGAAGTTTCTCAGTGAACAGTGTACATTTCGATCATTGAATCTGGATTTATTAATTCGTATTTCAAAATTCAGTTGACTTGTGATGCATGCAGCTTAACTGCCTCAGTTCATTATGAAGATGGTGTTGAAGAAACGGAATACACATTGAATGACCAGACTATTGATATTTCTATTATATTGTGTCGTAATAATTCATTAAACTTGATAAATGGTGTGTATTCAGTCTAATTATTCAAAAGATTTATCACATTTTGAATGTACAAAATTTTAAAAAATAACTATGCAAATGAATTCCCTGAAATTCCGGTAAGAAACATTCACCAAAAGAGTCACTTGCTTTAGGAGTAAGATAGTCATTTAGACATGATATTGGACTAACTATCCGTTGTTTTGTGAACTAATTAAGGTTAAATATGTGAAATATTGGATCTCCAATAGAAAATTTAACAAAATCTTGTCTTTTTTTAAAAAGCCAAGATATTTACGGTCCGATCTCGTTTGTGGTCGTCGATGATCAGTTCTTAGATGCCTCAAGTTGGTACATGGCATCCATTTAATAATCGAATGTTGTCGAAGGTTTTTTCACTGTTTTATTGACAAAGAAATCTTTGCAAACTACCTAAGCTTTGAGATTTATCTCACCTAAAAATATTATCATGACTATGTATAATGCACCAATGAATGTAGTAGACAGTTAGAATGTACTTTGGTTATCAAATACTGTCACATATTTTATCATCTTTCCTTTCTTTCTACCTCTAATTCACATACATACACATCCGTTATCCAGAAACGTTTACACATTTAGATTAAAAAAAATTGGAATGTTTTACGGTTTACAAGATAAGAATTTGAAAATCTTTTGTGAATAAGCAAATAAATTCTCTCCTAATCTTATATATATATATATATATATATATATATATATATATATATATATCGTATATATATATACACACTTGTACAACAATACTAAAGTTACAATAACTTACCGAAATTGGCTACATTGTACTCTATAGTCAATGTTAAACAATTTCTAATAGATTGTATTAGTTTCATTGCTTCTTCACAAGTTAACTGTCCTGTATGTATACTATTAATTGTTAGTATACGATCTCCGGGTTTTATTCGTCCATCACTGAATTTTAAGTACAAAAATGAAAATAAGTCCATGAGAAAGTGTAAATAATTAGATGAATAACGTCAGTTCCTAACTATTACACAGACAAAGTTTTTTTATAACGTGGAATTTTCGTCAAAGAGAATAACAAAAGACCTATAAGTTTCATTGGATTCACCCATCTGAGTGATTTAGTTGAGAATTCTATGATTGTTATTCTAAACAACATCAAGAATAGCACCGATGTCAAGCTAATATGAGCACTTTTAATGCTGTTTTATTTTTATAAAATTAGTTTTTATTCTGATGGTCCTTATATAATATCATTCAGTTTGGAAATGATACCCTCCTCAATAAAACAATCTAGTTTATAGAACCTAGTGTCAACGGAAACATCCATAATAGCTATAAATCTTTCTTGTTGTTTTAAAATTCAAGAGAGACCGTTTCACTCCTACAGCCATTAACTTACTAGCCTTAATGAACCTTTAAATAAAATGAAATGGCTAACTCGTTTAACTTCTTGACTAACTACAGTAAAACTAAGCGCTAGCTCAAAATATCTATATTGGTTTGAAGAAAGCCAGAAAACTAATCCCAAATAAGCTTACTAAAAAGTTAGTCTTCACAAGAATTTTAAGAAATACATCTTTACGTTTATCTTTGGCGGTTAATTATTTGGCCAATTTTAGGAATAATTCCTGATATTTCCTTAGAAGGCTAATATAGTTCAACCGTCTTGAGAGTGAGACAGAGACACCCTAACGATCGATACATATGGCAAATTGACTTAGGTCTGATATGTAACCCACTGTATTCTGAATTAGTGACTTAATGGGATTTTCCTCGTCACGAGAACTGAAGATTTCACGTTTACTTATGGTGTACACTACTGAGTACTAAGGCAAAATAGCTTTCTAGCATCCCTACTTCTCAATGGTTGTATAGCTTATTTCAGTCACTAATTTAATCTAATATCGAATTAACCAATAATCCTAAATTTTAGAAATCTTTCAAATATGTTAGGCTCTTAGATATAGGAGCATTATCATTTAATATAAAAATGATGATTAAAAGTTCGTGATATAGTCATGTCCAATCATGTAATAGCTTACGTTAATAACTTATTCAATTGTTAATAATCCTAATGGGAATAAATCTTGCCACTTCTATATTTTAAATAATCCAAGGGTTTTTTAATGTTCGCTAATCTTTTTGACATCATTCACTAAACGGAATTTTTCGCCAGATAAGCTTTTATCTATAATGTCAAACTTTCTAAATAGTATTATTTTTGAACAGTGTTATTCATATATCATCTGGTTCAGTGGATTGGTCAAAAAGCCCTACAGATAGATGCCTTGATAGTTGACAATGCTTATCTTTAGTCTCTAGGGTATAGAATTTGAATTCGAACCCGTTTCCCACAATGTCACAGCTAGAGAATTTATCATTGAAATGTTCGAACCATAACTGTTTTCCTATAGGACAATACTCAGAATTAAACAATAATATGTTATCCGATCCCTGGTTCAATCTAAGGAATGTAATCAGAATGAAGACTTCGATCATTTCAGCGCTTGTCTGACTGGTTAGCTTTGAAATTATAATTTATGAATTTATTACAATCAGCAATGTGTTTAGATTATTATCAATCGTAATTTGTATATTTTTGATGTAGTCAAAATTGCTATATAAATTTCATCATAACATTGATCCATCGTTTAATGCCGTTTCGAATAAGCTGCTTCATGAAGAGCCTTAAACAAGAATGTCATCACTATATATGACCGAGTATTTAACATGAGACAGTTACACTTTTTCTCCTAGCATAATTTTTCCAACACAATGAAACGTGATCTTACATAATAATCCATATAAATTTGAACAGTATGTGCTTTATCTTAAACTATTCCGTTTCCGAGTTTTTACTCAGAACAGGTTATATAAAAGAACAAACAGCGCAACGTAGCTAATATAGCTAACAACTTACAAATATATAATTCCTATTTATAGCTAATAAGGTTCACTATTTGTGACATACATTCAGTTCCAGAGTTAGTTTACTTTGAATGATGATATATTTGCCTATTCTATCAAGCCATTTTTTTTACTCAAAACACTATTACTATTAATACTACTACTAATGCCATTAAACTTGTCATTTTAGTTTCCATTACTATTATCAATTATGTAATTAGCCGACTTGTGAATTCCCTTTTTTTGTTTTAATGATCCAATCAAATATTTATGAGTTTAATTACAGTTGAGAGTAAAACTTAGAATTTCATTGGAAGTAATATTGTTTATTGATACCTCTTGTCTTAATTTTCCTGATACACCTCTTGAATATTGTTATTATTTGTTCAACCTAAATTATTTGCCAAGTCCTATGAAAGGAAGCTAGTGAATTTGTATCTTGATAGTAGTTTATGGAAAAAAAGTATATAATTTAGTTCAATTATCTGTAGTAGGTTCATTAACACATACTATTCATGGTCTATGAATCCTTGAAATCATTTCAAAAGGTAGACTTTTGATGCGGTCATCTAAAATGTAATGAATTGTACCATCTTTTACATTCTATAGTCATTTTGTTTTCTTGTTCCCCGATAAAGTAATAATAAAGTGTGGATGTTTTGTCAGTATTACAATTAATAAATAATGGTTTTTGAATTTCCAAAAGATCACTTTGTCTTATATATATAATTGTGAACTGATCAACCAATTTCAGTACTAAATATCGGTTTACATCTAAACTTTGAATATAAAATTGAATCTAGGTTGATTAATCAGTTACTGGTTAACTTGACTGGAACACTTAATGTACAATTTTTCAGTCTTTTCTTTTATCCGACTGATCCTCTAAAAACCATATATGATGATTAGTTGTCATTCTAATATATAACCTAGCTTATAATTTCAGTCATTTATAAACAGTTATACTACTTGCATAAAGAAATAACGACTAACGACACTATTTCTGAATTAGGTATACAACCGACACAGAATATTCTTCAACTACTTTCTTCCATTAAAAAAAAGACATTTTCACATGATGTTTTTTTTAATTTGTACTCCATCAAATTATCCTTATGATCACGGATCAGAAAAATAAACGAATCCGACTTATATCTTAGGAACAAAAACAATTTTGATTTTTAAAAAAATCAATAATTGATTTCATAAGACTTTTTTATCAAATGAATTGATTAAACACTTAACGACCAATAATTGACTATATGAGAAAAAGGGAAATTTTCTAATTCAGATAACCTTTTTACTAAAAATCATCGATTAAATATTTTAATTGTCAAGAATAAAATTGTCTAATCTTTCCGGATGCGATTGAATGCAAGACAATATATTACGTGGTGAGTAAAATAACTCAAGAATATTCAGTCGAAACCTGATGATCCAGATATCTTTTACCTTAAAATTACTGTAATACCATCAAAAAACCTTAGATTTCATACATTAAATAGTAACATTTAATAATTGCGAATTTCTAGTTGAACAAGTAGTATTCGTTATTAGATAGCATAAAAAGGTTTATGTCATCCAAATTACCGTTTAAATAAGCCTAGTGACAAACTGTTATACAATCATACTTTCACAAATCTTAAATAACAGAGAGTGTATTAATCTAAAATGTTGAATTGTAATGCTCCACGCTTAGAGTAGAGATATTTATGTCGAATTGCATCTTCTTCAAACCCAACATACTTCAATAAGAAAAAATTCCCTGAAAATCTATTCCGTTAAGCTCAAATGAACTACAAACGTTTTAATTCATTCTTAATTGTCTGGTTGAATCTTCCCGGTGATGTTTAGGACTGCAATTGATTAGTCTTTTATTGACATATGTGTATCCTATATGGATTTCCTCGGTATTGACTTAAGTCACAAGCTGTTTAAGTAAAAATGGATAGTGGCTAGCAGTGGAATTCAGGATACACATTTCATCCTATTTGGGATACGTCATCTGGATGCATCTACATCCCAGAGTTGATGTCCACTCCTAGTTTCAAGGTGATATCGAGGCAATCTGCACAGGATGCACATATGCCAATAAGAGAATGATCAATTGCGGTCCTAAACATCAAGGGGAAGATTCAAACAAACAGCACAAAAGGAATTTATACTTCACCCTATTGCACAAGCTAGTGGCTATCAGGATTCACTAGCTCAGTGGATAACGCGATGGCGTTTGGAGCGAACGGTATTAGGTTGCAAGTACATCCAATCAACAAGTCCTAAACAGGAAGAAACGCGCGTTCTTGATTTCACTGGTAGCCACCATCTATATTTGCTTATAAACCTTTTAATATTTTGTATTTTGTTGTTTCATGAATACAAATATAGAAAATAAGAAACAGTTTATGTCAATAGATTTACTGTTATATAGCATTATAATTAACCATATATCATTGCAGTTGAGTGAAAACACAATTATTCACTTTTTTTCTATCTAACAACAGAGAAATATTCTTTCGTTTCAATAAAGCTTAGCTTATTATTTTATTTGTATCAATGAAGAATAAATTACCCATAGATAAACAACTAATTGAATATGATTATCTATGGATTATAATCAAAGAGGATAAATCTGTTTCTTATCATTAATAACAAATATACTTCTTTCTTGCATGCTATCTACCGTCAATTAATTCAGTAGAGAAAAACAAAATGTGAAATAAAATTGAATAATGACTACAAACTGAAATCCAATACATGTATTTCATCCTAATTAAGATTCATGAACTAAGATTTCTTTTCATTTCAATGTTAATAATCATATTGAAACTTAAGCACAGTATGATGGATTTCAAATGTAAATCTGTTATTCACTGAGATACTGAGTCTTTAACATGAATAACCGAAGAACACAAATCTTTAAATACAAAAAAAAAATTGAGCAATAATCTTTATCGTATACAAATGTCATAACTGTTAAATGGATTCGTACTCACTCAACAGTACTACTGTCTCAGAAAGATAATAAAGTCGGAATGGAAATTTATGAAGATTGTAGTTATTTTTTAATAGTTCAATTCATAAGTTGATCTAAGCTAGACCACCATTGAAAGCCTGTAAGCTCTGGACGACCGTTTCGTCTCAGCAGTGTACATCCACGGTCTCACGCGCGAAAGCTTAACCTCTAGACCACTGAGCCACTATCTAACGGTGATAATGTCTAACTTCAATCGATTCATTATCTTGCGTAACCTTTCATTCATTGTCTTCAGTGGATAACTATCTCATACTCTAAATATATTGAACTCCATTGGTCACGAATTCTCACTAAGTTGTACTTCATAAGATTTTAATTATATATATATATATATATATATATATATATATATATATATTACAGCCTACAAATTAAACTGATCGCCGCAATATCTCTTCAAACGAACTGTAATAGTTAGCTCACTAATAAATTACATCAAGGTATTCATGAAGTTCTAATGAGTAGTCGTGACAAAAAGGGATTAAGACACGTCAACAATGAAACAGTTGTCATCAATGCCATGAAATAATCTTGCGCAGTGTTTCGAAATAATCAAAGTTCATATCGCATCACTGAATACCAGTTATATAGTTTCAATGGTTAGATATTTACCACGAGACCCATAGGTCATGAGTTACATCACTATTGAGGTCCTGGATGAGCAACATTGAAGAATCATATGCTAGGACGAAACAACTGTCCTGTGCTCCCTAGTTTTCAGTGATACTTTGAATGAAATCAATCCGTGACAAATACAACCTACAAATTAAACTAATCTCCACAAAACTCCTTTAACTAAATATAAAAATGTTTAAAACTCATAAAATCTACTAGTCAAAAAAAAGCTTTCTTAACGGAGAAATACTAATTTTGAAATGTCTTTCATTATTTTCGAGCATCAGATAACAGTCTGTAACGTAGACTTATCATCATTCAACGTTGTGCTTAAGTTCATGTTTCGCATTCTAATTGATTGACTTGGCTTTAATCCGTCTATTCAATAATGAATTTATCATAAGTCTACAAGATTTGAAATTTAAATAAACTATTATACACCGATTTGTTATTAAATCTTTAATTTCAGTCGGTTTATTATAATCTTCTCTTGACTGAAATACATTTAAAATCTATCCAACAATTGATATAAAACTTCTAGAACTGAACAACTTACTCTCATTTTCCATTTAAAAATCTCAACATATGACCCCCTAAACAATTAATACTGACCATTAAACCGTATTATTAACAAGAGTTCTATGAATCTTACTCATCTAAGCCTAACAATACTTTAGGATAGATTCAAGAGCATAATAAACTGGTAAGCACTTTTCTCGACATTCAAAGCTGTTGCAAGGATAAAAATCTATGGTATAAATAATCTTTAACTAAATCTTATTGATCAACTTGAAAACGTCATGAAGATTAGTTCAATTCTAACAAATTAAAAAGACCTCACTAAAAAACGAAGTATGTACTTACAAAAAACCTAGATTTCACAATGATTCTCAAAATCCTAGTGAAAATTTATCATTGATGGAGTCTAACGATCTTGAGGATGAGACTCACGGATGAAAATGACCGATTGATATGTTCTATTAAGAACTGAATTAAGCTGGAATTATGGAATGTCATTTAAATGCTGAAGCATTGACAATTAGACGTAAAGACTTTAGCTTTTTTCTTACATAGGATTATAAGTGTGTACTTTGATGTAATACTCTTTAACTGCGGTGAAATATTCGTTCATCGTTCCCTTATTCACATTGGTTTTACAGTTGGAGTCAATTTTTTAAACAAGAAAACTATTTTTAGAAGTTTACGTTATTAATTCAGATTGTCATAAAGTAGTTCACAGTTGATTGATCACTGTGTGGTGATCAATGTCATGCATGTCAAGTCCGTCTTAGTGCTGATCGAATGTTATTGATCAAGTTGCAATGTGGCCACTAGTCTAGGTTGCTCGACACTGCGTGCACTATGTTGAGATAAGATGGTGGTTGGAGGTGGTCAACAAGAAACCTTGGACCCGGGTTTCGTGCTACCTAACACTCGTCAGCAAGGTGTACCAGTAATCTTTAGGGAACTGCTGCTCCCTGATGGATTCGATCCCATGTCACTCAGCTTCACAGTCAGAGATGTTACCACTGAGCCATTCGGGCCGTGACCAACCTCCTTTAGTAAAGTAGTTCGTTTAACAGATCCTTTCAAGTGTTATCAATTGACAAAGTATACTTATTAAACCTTGAATTTATTATGTCCGATGCTTCTAGTCAGGAAGAACTATTCACATTTCTTTAACAGGATTCTTTTTCTATACTGACTATATTATCCACTTAAATAACAATAATAATAATCTTTTCGTTTACTGAATGATGCCAAATTTCTATATTTCAACCATTTCAATGATTGTTACTACACTTTACTACTGATAGAAAATTTCATCAATTTATGTCAGGTAAAATATAATTAGATAATTATGATCTTTCGTTTTTTTGTTTTTAACAAAAAAAATGTACATTAGAACTCACCAGTCAGCAGCACTATTTTGTCGTATATGCATAACAGTTAATGGTCGTATAAGTAACGGAGATTTATTCCATCCACCACGAACAACTAAACCAACACCATCAGAACTAATTTTTAAATTGACAACCATATGTTTAACAGTACAACCGATAGGAGCTATTACAACAAAAAATTTACATATGAAATGTAAATTAATTGATATTGCATAAGACAGTGTTTAAAGTGGAAATAGAAAAATTACTGAATTATATACAGAATCGGGAGTTATTTCTAAAGAAAAACAGATTATGAGTCAATTGAAGCTAGACCACTGTGGAAAAACCTGGAATCACTGAACGGCCGTTTCGTCCTATTGTAAGACTCCAAAGCATTGCTCTAGCGCGAGACTTGTAGGTCCTGGGTTCGAATCTAGCGAGGCGAGGCCGTGGATGCGCACTGCCGAGGAGTCCAAGAATAGAACGAAACGGCCGCCCAGTACTTCCAGGTTTCCCTTAATGGTCTAGCTTCAATTGACTCACGATTTCAAATATATATAAAAACAGATTATTCAAATATTCATTGAGAAATTACCAATACTGTAAGATCGTTCCATCCTACTTTAAACACAGTTACGAATACTGTTAAATTTTATGAGAATCAAATTGCAATTTTTGGTTATTACATAACATCCATCATTGTATTGAAACTCGGTAATATATATGATTGTTTTGCTTAGGTCACCTAAAGAAGTTTTACAATACTATATGGTTGAAAGCAATCTACAGGAAGATTGATACTTAGGTTCTATATCTATTTAACACTCACTAACAAAGTTTATCTTCTGTCTTAAAAAAACTGGTTCCTTCCCATTGGATCCAGGCCTACGTTAACCATCTCCACAGATAGAAACGTTACAATTAGTTATTTGAGTCTATCAATTCAGTTGGGTTCAGATTTCATGAAGAACTTTATTCTCTCATAATTGCCAATGCGCTTAATTTGTGGGTACCAGTTAATTTTAAAAAATGGGCCGGAGATTCGCTGGTAAGCTTTTTATTATTAAACAAGAGTACCTCGATTTCAAGTCAAATATGATATTATTACAACTTGATTGATCTCATCATTTTCATTTCACCAGACTCACTTCAGTCAGAAAATTAAGTACAAGGTTAATATAAGGTAGATACCTGATGTACTCTAACATTTTTCAATCACTGATGTCGTCATCATCAACACAATACTCAATAATTACTTACGTAATGCCGGTAATTCATATCCAATTTCCATTTGAATTTTTGATCCCAAATGTTTATTTGAATTATAGTTTTCACTTGACATATTCATAAAATTCATTGATAAAATATGATCATATGGTAGGAAACAATCATTTCTACATTGAATTCAATAAAGTTCAATAATAAATAATATATAATAAGTTGTTGTTTTTCTTTCGAGAAAGCATACTACGAATAATTTCAAAAGTGAATCATTTTTATTTTGTGATAAATGTAAACAAATCTAAATACTAATATGAAATCACATTAAAAAAACTATCAATGTCATATTCAGTATATGTTACCAATAAATCTCTAACTTAAATACAACATTTGGTGAACATGGAAAGTTCACCTATGGGAGTTGGAAAACCCTGACTCCACACAAATGGTGCACATGGGCTCCAGTATCCTGAGGGGACAAATGACTCATGAATCAATCGTCGGTCACCGGCTACCATGGGACTGCATCTCCTTACGATGTTCCATTGCCTTGTAGATCAGTTCTTTAGGTCAAAGGCTCGGATTGTAGCCCCCTGCTTCTGTTTGGGCACTCGGGCAGTATCACTGCCTTCACACAAATCAAATGAGATTTGTGTGGCGCATATGTATCTAGTGCTCCCTTTGTACCAATATTTATGTGTTTAAATAAAATAAAAATAAATACAACATAATTTTTCATTGAATTATCAAAAAGTTTTTGTCAATAAACAAATTACTCAATAATTTATTAGTGATAATCATCACAAATGGAAATCATTTAAAATAACTACTAACAACTAGAAAGTACCTAGACACCTATATCATCCTAGTATATAACTTTTAGGCAGTATACACTCAAGACTTCAGCAAGAATCAAATCTAGGCAATTCAAGTCTCATTTCAAACACTTCGCCATTAGAATTATCGAATTAATTAAACTACGTTTTCATTTACAGATTTTGTATACATAAATGTGTTGAAGTTTTTTTGATGGTGTTTAAGGTATTAATCACTCATAGTAAAAGGAATATAAATGATTACAAGAGTATGCGATTTCAAATATGAATTCATCACCATAGCAATAACGTATTCAAAAATTAGTGACTTTTTTTCCTTTGATGAATTTATCTGACAAAATAGAAGTCAACATTAGTTCATCATCAAGTAACATTAATTTTTTTTAAATTGTGATTTCTCATCATAAATTGGCCTTAGAGGATTATCGATAACTAGAAAACATTGGGCATCCATTTCATTCTAGTATGTGGATCCTTTGATCATGTTCATCAGCGACCCTACCAAGAAACGAACCAACAATTTTTAGGCCCATTGTCAAGTGCTTAATCTTCAAACCACTGACCTACCGTTCAATATTTTACGTTTCTATCTTAAATCCATTCATTATTCATTGTTATCGGGATATTTGTTTCATACCTGACATGATTGAACTCCACTGGTGTAAAATCCCACTACGACTTCGAGAATTACTTTTAGAACTTATAACACAATGGATTTTAATACAGAGAATTTTCAGTGGTTATCTAACTAGTAATTCGATGGTGTAAAATTGCAAAACTCAGTGATCTCTAAAACTTTCTACACTAGAAATATAATCGCTTAGTTGAGTGATTTATGAAGAAATCGATGAGTACTAAATAAATATTGCCGTCTGATTCCGAACCCTTCAGCAGTTGCCACTCAATGAATTATCATAGGAGAGAATTCCGGAACTTTATATCTTGTAAAAAAAGGCTTTTTTTCTTTACTCTAAGGCACTACGGTATGATTATGATTAAAGCTAAATCACAAATGTGGCCAAGAAAACGCTAACGATTCAACCCTAATTTTTAGGCGCGTATTTAGTTGGCAACATAAACACCGTTTGTCTTTTGATATGTTAATTGGTGATAGTTTCGACCTAAACAAGGACAGATTGAATAGGCATAACCCATATTTTAATCGTTTACATAGGTAGCTAAACTAGACCAGAAAAAAATTCTGAACCCAGGACCCTCGTCCTCGCGCGCTAATGCTAACCCTCTAGACCACTGAACCAGAATTCAATGGTCTTAATGTCTGACTTCAACCAAACCACGATATCGCTTGACTATCTTCCATTGTTTCTAATGGGTAACTGCCTCACACCCGTCCAGTGCTTCCAATTTTTTAATGGTGGTCTAAAAATGATCGGCTCGTGATCTAAAAAGAATTTATTTGTCTGAATATTTTAATAATGTAAATAAACACTAACTGAGAATAAAAACTATCATTCAAAGGAAAACTAATTAATCAGTCGATATATGTGAATTACTACTTCTAGTAAATAGCAAAAATGGATAATGCTGTTACCTATTTTCATAAATATCATTTTGAAGAAAATATTTGTGGTGATGAAATGTAAAAGAAAAAAATCAGAAATTTCAAAGCTGACAACAACAAAAATCATCATTTAAATCATAGTTCATCTATCTGTCAGTTCATTGAATATTGAATAGTAACTAGAAATTGTTTGAATCTACATGTTTAGTAGTAATGAGAGAGTGATACTAGTTAGTACATCTTCGTTTTCTTGTATGTCGAAGGAGGGGGGTGCGGACTTTTTAATTATCATCGTTATGTTGAAAATATTATTTAATACTTTACCGCCTGTCATCTTAACTGTTTAAATGGTTTACTTATACATAACGTTCAAACTAAATTCTAGAGAACAGACATAATACATAAATTTGAAGCATCCTATGTATAATATTTAATTGACTACATTTACAGAAAACTAAACTACTCTCCTATAAATGATTTTTTTAAACATGTACATATCCTTGAATGTTATTACCATTTAAGTAATGATTTACATCTTGAATAGTTAACTTTATTCATGTGTTGCTGAGCGGGAATCTTCAAAAATTAAGATTTTTTTGTGCTTTTTCATACCAACCTTTAAATTTAAAAGTATCTAAGAGTTATAAAAACATAATCTTAATTGCTAAACTAATTATGTAACATATTATTATCTTTTTTTCTGAAATGTGAATATTTTCATATATAAAAATTGATATTACAAGTTTGACTAAGGTTCCTAGAATTGGTAAATTCCCATTATTCGAATAAATGTATCGATATAATCATATAAATCATTCATATTAACATCGGCTTTGAAGATATACACCATAAAAATAGAATAACCGTTTTCAGAAAGCGTTCAGTACGGTATTTTGTAGTCCACATTTTTTCATAGAAAATGAATGACAGTATCAGTTGAAATGGCATCATCATATGTTGGTGGAGGTTACTGATATCTACATAAGTAGTATATGATGATGGTCGGACATTGAATGTATTTCAGTAGAAGATCGTTAAGGAGAGAACGGAAATGGTACGCGGTTGGTATGAAAATGCATAAACAATCATAATCGAAGACTATAGACCGATATTTGAAGAAGAAACAGTCAAATTGAGGCGATTGATTGTTATTTTGTAAATCAACTATTTATTATATGGTTCTCATAGTTTAATGAGATATTCTGTAATGTTCTGCTAAATTACATTCGATTGTCCTCACTCCTGTTCATGTTCACTACAATATTCATCAAAACTGTCATTTTTCAACAAAACTCAAATCTATGTAAAAGACCTCAGGATAACTATCATCCTTTCAAAGTAATGATAAGTTATATACCACTCAGTCTTTTGGATAACTCACTAAATTAATAATTTTAAACACAATATTCAAGACATATTCGATAAGGAATACCTTACCATCCATTAAATAATAACTTAGAGCATTTTACAGACTCTCTCAATATCTGATAGAATACACTGATTATAATACTCATGTTGAAACAGTCTGTAGGATATAAATCTATGACTTACAGACCAGTTCACCGAATAAAAATGTTCCATTGTTCAGTCGATGCGACGTGCCAAAAATATACACTGAATATACCTAAAACACCCACTTGTCGATAAACTTCAAGTTTACTTCTACAGTTGTCTTTGTCAAACGAATTACATAAAACCTATTTTTAAATTAAAACTGTTATAAACCTGCTACTGATAAGATGAAATAACAAACCTATCAAATTCTTCTTTAACAAAATTTTAAACCCACTATTTAAACTTCTCACTACTATCCCGCTTGATTTTGACTACTTCAATTGTTACTTTTGTTATCTATTCGTTGATATCATGAATGGATCATTGTTAGACCACCATTGAAAACCTGGAATTACCAGACAGCCGTTTCGTCCTAGCATGGTACTCCTCAGCAGTGCGTATCCACAATCCCGTACTCAGGACCTTCGACCTCACGCGCGAACTTTTAACCTCTATACCACTGAGCCGGCATCCAAAGGTGTTAACTTCAACCAATCCACGATTTTATTATCTTTGATAGATTTACTAGTCATTTCAATATTATAATAATTATTCAAGTAATTATATAGTTACCTTAATTTATAGCTGACCTTTTTCAACCAAATATAATCATCTTTGTTTTATTACTTTGTAGATAGATAGATGTTGAACTAGTTCAATTGGATTTCATGTTAATAACTTCCTTTAATGTTTCATGTTTTATTGTTTTATTCTAAAAAAAATGAACTATTTGAATACTATTTTTTGTTATTGTGTTAACGTGATTACTGCTATGTTTTATTCTTTAATTCAGATTGTTTGGGGTTAACGAAAAACCACTGGGATAAGACAAATTTTATACGTTCTTCAAACAGTATTCAATCTCTTAAACTCGAAATTAACCCAGACCGCTATAAAACAAAATCCTACGTATACCCTTGTGATACGATTCATAACGGCAGTAAAACCAGGACAGCTGACTAACCAAGCACATAACTAAATACTAAGATTTTCTCTCTTATTCATTTAGATACATCTTAGCAGACTTGTCTGATACCATGGATTATGGTTTTTCGTTACAATTTTTTAGAAACACAGCCTGATGATAGTCAATATCTTCTTCATGAGTCAATGACCTTTTAGTCGGTTATGACAATCATTTCTTAAAGTAAGACTTTTCACCATCATAATCAATAATCCATGTGAATATATGTATTGAATATTCAGTTACTTACCTGTCTGCAATACTTCCGGGACGAATATTTAAAATAACTGGAGCTTCGCCCTGATTAGAACCATCAGAAACAGTTAGCCCTAAATTAGACTTTTCTTCTTTGATGATTTCAACAATAACACGTCCAAAAGCGTTCATATCTGTAAAAGAATGATTCGTCAAAGTATATAAACGACGGTGATATGTTAGAATCAAGATAACCTATATTTAAATGAAATTCAATTAGAAACTATTCTTTAATAAGATTGTATTAGATAGTATTTGAAAAATCATTCTTTTTCCTAACTAAAACAAAGAAATAATAATTGTTTTCTAGGAACTGCGGGAGAGAACAAACCTGATTCCATTGGAGGAAGAAGTCAGGAGGAAGCACTGGAAGTGGATACATATTTAAAGGAAATCACCAAACTGCATCAAGGCAAACCCTCAAATAGAATCCTGAAGGTCGAAGGAAAAGAGGAAGACCAAAGAACACATTACGCCGAGAAATGGAGACAGACATAAGGAAAATGAACAAAAATAGGATAGAACTAGGAAGGAAGGCCCAGGACAGAGTGGGTTGGAGAATGCTGGTTGGCGGCATATACTCCATTGGGAGTAACAGGCGTGAGTAAATAGCAAGTAAGTTTTCTAGGAAGAAAGCCCTCAGCTCGGATAGATTAATGAAATATTTTTAAGAATTCAAAACATTTAGGAAAATTAAGCAACAGAATTTAGTGACAGATCAACTCAACTAAGTTAAATTGATTTCATTGCAAATTATAGATACAATATAAACTCACATTTGAGTAGACGATACATCCTAAATTTAGATTTTATGGTGTAAGATAGTATAATTAAAAAGTACCTAAGTAGAGCGTCTTAGTTTATGAACTCATCACAGGCTTATAATGATAGTTTAACAAAGGAAACCAATAGGACCTTTTAGCATTTAGACGTTTTATAAACCTATCAATTTGCTAAGTATAGTTTTATAGTTGACTAAATTATATTTATAAGGAGTTAGATTTTTAATCTCACCATAAGCTGTTTAATAAAGTGATTAGCTTTTGGAAACACACATATTTTGTGTATTTTTAAGGGACTACTCTACGAAATAAATTTTTACAAAATGAATTTTCCAAGTAATTTTTTAACCCACACAGATTGATAGTATGTAAATTATTCATGTATGAATCAAATGATATGTCAGATAACTTTGGAAGACTGTATATTACCAGACAGTTTAGCTTGAAACTCTTTAGCCGCATACACTCATGACCCACATAGCACCAAACCTTAGACCAACAATCTTTAAAAAGAGTGTAAGTTATTTAAACTAATATGTTACAATCAAGGTCGAGGATGAGGAGGTAATTGACAGTTAATATCACAAATTGTATGAACGCGAAAACCTAACATCTTACGAAAATAACACTGACTGTAAGATGTCTTGTCCTTTGAGAAAATTAATTATTCTAGGCTCAATATCGTGTGGAATAAATGCACGTATAACTGAATAATGAATCTAAACAGCCTCTTCATTTTCAATAGCTTTATAACTGACAACCATTTATTATAAAAACTATGTTTAATATGAAGATTTTCATATATATCTACCTTCTTGGTGAGACTCAAACCCACTGCCCTTCAAACACTTAAATGTTATCTTTTAGATTATTGAGTTCCAGTATTCACTAATTTTTCAACAGGTAATGATAATATAAATAGTTGTTATCATTTAAACGTAGTTTAAATAAAAATTAATATGATGGATTACAACTGAGCTAAGAATAAAACTACTGAAACTGCTTCATTATAAAATCACAATATTTGCCTTTAATTATACAGACAATAAGCGAGTAAAAGAATAGATTACTGAATAGTAATCCATAAAAAAATAGTTTATTTAATCAAGGGATAATGCGAGTAATGCAATTTATTAATATCAATAAATAACTGTTTAACAATATATCACATTCAAAGTAAAACACAAGTGAATGATTTTTATCAGTCAGTACTAAGAATAACAATAAATCGTGGATTGATTGAAGTTAGACATTAACACCGTTGGATACCAACCGGTTCAGTGATTCTAGAGGTTAAGCGCTCTCGCACGAAACTGATAGGTCCTGGGTTCGTGGATGCGTACTGCTGAGAAGTCGCACGATACGAAGAAACGACCGTCTAGTGCTTCCAAGGTTTCCTTGGTAGTCTAGCTTCAATTGACTCATGATTTCAACAATAAATCTATGCATAATGTTATTGTTTTTATTAGATTAAGTGATTTGGTGACTTGATGTCAGTGGATCTATTTTTCATAACTGTATAAAAGCGGTTTCTTAAAATTGTGAGATTTAACAGATTTTTTAAACCGGTGACGTGCTGTCAGATAGCCCCAGACATTAATCACGCATCAGTAACCAACATCTAGTGCCTTGAGAATACTTGTTCTTATACGAAATTTAAAATTCTTTCATTTAACTCTATATTCAAACATTTTAATTCTAACTCATTTATCTCTTTAAATAGATAATGAGGTTTTGAATCACGTACTAACCTCCGATCGTATTCAACTGATAACTATCAACAATTACATGACTTTAATTTAAATTTGTCAGCAGATTGTTTCTATACTTAACAAATAAACTATATCCCATTCTGTAGTATAACATTACTTTGTTTAGATCATTGTTACTATTAATAACTATCCAATGAATAGAGATGATTATTATTTTGTTTATTTCTAAATAAGCATATTTCAATATGAACTTATTTGTGCCTATAAACTTAAGTAAATAAATATTATTATTCTTATATATTAACCAATTATCATAATATTAATAAACAGTAATGATTGATCCGTTTATTTTTACTTTTTTATAAATCAATCGAAATAAAAGAAATTCTGATCATGATTGTTTATAAAATATGTACTTTTTTCACTCTGATCACCTGATTTTCGGGAACATTTTTTTCTATATGGAAGAAATTTTAATTAAGAACTGATTTTTGGTTTGAAGTGAACCTTAGAAGCATGTAGAAATATTTCTTTATATATATATAAATGGTATAATATTAATCAAGAATTCATGAATGTTCTTTTTCCTTTAGCTAGTTACAAGTATATTTATCTGATCTTCTCAAAGTGTGTTAAACAATAATAAGATTGTAATCAGTGTATTAACGATCAAAGACAAACAATAAGAAATCCTGTGCATCAAGGTTTAATAATAATAACATTCCTATGGAAAACACATTTTAGATTGATTCATCTTGAAATGACTGAATTTATTTCACCTATCATTTCAGTTTCAGTAAATTTGATTTAGTTATTAAAGGTTACAACGGATCACTTGCAAGATTTTATTTTGTAATTTTATTAAAACAATGAACTGATCAAAGTTAGACCACCAGAGAAAGCCTCGAAGCATTGAACGGCTGTTTTTCTTCCTTTTATAGAACTCTTCATCAGTGCTTCCAGATTTCCAATGGTGGTCTAAGTTGGATCGATTCATGATTTCAATGAAATCCAACAATCCGTACAATACTATATTGAAAACTTCACCTTATAAGTTAATTATTCATTAAGCGATTAACAATACAATTGATGAAAACTCCAATATGTCAATTAGTTTTCAAAACTAAGATTATGATTTGATTAATCTCCGGTGACTGATTATTTTACTGAATCTAACCCAAAAGGAAATAAAATGAGGCCTGAATGGTGGTGACATCCATAGCACTTACTGATATGACAGGAGCAAAGCAGAAAAATCAAGTCAGTTTAAAAATCCATCAGCACACCCTTGTAAATATGTGGTCATATAGTAAATTAATAATTAATTGAATTTAAATACCACTCAGTCAGACTATACAAATCTGATTGCCAACCTGACAGTACAAAAATTATATAAATAATAAGGTATTCATACATCATTTTTATTTGTTTTGGAAGTCAAATAAATTCTTATCACTAGTCTTTGATTTTCGCTAGGCGTCAATGGATTTGGGGTCCCAGTATCAGGGAAAAACCCAGTTAGGTATTCCGATGTTTTGATAATGTTGGACATAACAATTACTATGATATCATTAATAAAGGTTTGAACTAGCCCTTTGTTGATAATATTCATGACTAAATTTTGATCAACCTTCGTTGGTTTATATGCATCCTATGTAAATTACCTTGACGTAGCCATTTTTCACAAATTTTATAGGAAAGATGAATTTTAGCTAGCAACAAAATCTAGAACGTGTGTTTCTGCCTCTTTGGGACTAGTTACCTGGATGTATCTGCATCTCAGTGTTCATATTTATACTGGTACTTGAATCCAGTACCTTTCACTTCAAGCATCCACAAGGTTATTCATTTAGCTACTGACGATAAAAACGCCCATCCTGGATTCTATTACTTGGTTCATCTTTTTTCTATAATCATCTTGACAATTTTGCTTAGAAAACTGGTGAATATAACAGACAACTTTTTTTATTCATATGATAATATTATCAAGCACTAATTATATGAACATTTTGATCCAAGTATTCCTACCTCTTAGAAGTTTATAATTTTGATAACAACCATACCGTTTCGTAAAGCTATAATATTCTGAGAAACTGTACTAACTGAAATTATGGTAAAACAAAAGTTTACTATGAATGAAACTTTTTAGAAATTTTGTTGACCTAATATATTACAAAATCCGATGTACGGAAACATATATTTGTACAAAGTTGTACAAAATTTCAAAGAAAACTTTAGTCATGTTAGTCGTAAAATTATCATCCTGCAACTTCCTGGTCAAGTATTCTGCTTTATACATTTGATATACACCAATGATATTCAGGTATTAAGTTTATTTCTCTCACTAATTATCTATTGAACCGAAGGATAGACAAATCATTGTATATACTTCTTCATACTAAGCGAATGGGCTATCAAAAAGGTTGTGAAATAAAAGATGATTGTGCTGTTTCGTCATGACTCCTTAGAGCTGGTTCCATAAGCCCTTGAACTCAGTGGCTTAAAAAGTTATCAAGTTATGTCTCAGAATAAATGCAAGTGATAATTTTGACTTAGTTTTCCATTTTTTTCATAAACAATAGGATCTTCCTCTTAAATGAAAAAAATTCATATTAGTTACATCCATGCTAAAGTTCTACT